CCAAAATCACACAGTTCAAAGTAGGCAAACAAACAAAGAGCTGTGAAGAAAAGCCGTTGTCCAAAAGCAGTCCAAGGGCGAGGAAATTCCAGAAGTATTCAGAATCCAAAAGGCAGCATCATCGGCCCCACAACCGTTGTGTGGAGTCCCACAGGGTTCAATCTTGTCCCTGATGTTATTTAACATCTACATGAAGCCCCTGGGGAAGATCATTCGGAGTTTCGGAATGAGATGTTATCTCTACGCAGATCATGTCCAAATCTGTCACTCCTTTCCACCTGTCACCAAGGAGGCTGTCCAGACCTTGAATCGGTGCTTGGCTGCTGTGTCGGACTGGATGAGAACTAACAAATTGAAACTGAATCCAGACAAGACAGAGGTCCTACTGGTCAGTCGTAAGGCCGAACAGGGTATAGGGTTACAGCCTGTGCTGGATGGAGTTACACTCCCCCTGAAGACACAGGTTCGCAGCTTGGGAGTGATCCTGGACTCATCACTGAGCCTGGAAGCCCATGTCTCGGCGGTGGCCGGGAGAGCTTTTGCACAATTAAAACTTGTGCGCCAGCTGCATCCATACCTTGGGAAGTCGGATCTGGCCACGGTGGTCCACGCTCTTGTTACATCCCGATTAGACTACTGCAACGGACTCTACGTGGGGTTGCCTTTGAAGACTGCTCGGAAACTCCCAACTAGTCCAGCGGGAGGCAGCCAGACTGCTCACCGGGGCGTCATACAGGGAGCATACCACCCCCCTGTTGTGTCAGCTCCACTGGCTGCCGATCCAGTTCCGAGCACAATTCAAAGTGCTGGTTTTGACCAACAAAACCATATACGGTTCCGGCCCAGTGCATCTGTCCGAACGGATCTCCCTCTACGTCCCACCCTGGGGTCTAAGATCTTCTGGGGAGGTCCTGCTCTCGACCCCGCCTTTATCACAAGTGAGATTGGCAGGGACGAGGAGCAGGGCCTTCTTGGTGGTGGCCCCCCACCTGTGGAATTCACTCCCCGGGGAAATTAGATCTGCTCCTTTCCTTCAGGAAAAAAAACTAAAGACATGGATCTGGGCATTCGGACAAGCGGGCAGATAAAGAAAGAACTTTGATGATGATTAGGAAATGATTAATGGATTACATCTATGCAACTCTGAAAAACGAAATGCTGATCACGAGAGTAGTTTTTATATGATGTGTTATGTACTTGTTGTTGATTGTGTTAACTGTGATAACTGTTTTTAACTATGGTTTTGGTATATTATGTGTAATTCGTATAGGCATCGAATTGTGCCTTTTCTGTAAGCCACCCTGAGTCCTTCGGGGGTGGAGAAGGGCAGGGTAAAAGTACCCGAAATAAAATAAATCGTCAAAACAATCCAAGGTCGAAGAGAAAGGGAAATCTACACTTACAAGAATCCAAGCCAGTCGATACACAGAGGAAACAGCAACCTGCTGTTCCAGGACCCAAGCCCAACAAGAGAAACGGCAGTGACAGAAGTCAAGGCACAAATCCAACACTTTGCCTACTGCAAAGTTCCCAACTTTCAGTGCCTTCATTTATCCTACAACTCATCATCCGTTGATGAGCTGCCCTCCGCCCTTTCCTCATCACTGTCAGCTGTTTTACCCATTACAGCTGAGCGCCAATACCCATCTCTCCAACTCTTCCACCTCTTGTCAAGACTTAGGTCTCCCCATGATTCCCTGGTATCACCAGACTGCCAATCCCCAGAGAACCCTTCAAAAGTATCACTGGATGTGGGTTACATGCACACATTCCTGACTTCTTGTACTTGAGTCCAATCCAATGATTCCCCTTCGTCCTCACTACTCCCAGACCCATTACTTCCAGTAAAGCCCATAAAATCCTCCTCCTCAGTTGGAGCAGTAAATATGTCACAGATCCATTTCCTCTGACACTCCTCGTCTGACTCTTGCTCACGAGTAGTCCTTTTTGCACCTCTACTCCCATCTCCCTCCTCCCCCATTTCACTTTCGGAGAAGCCTTCAAAAGAGTCTTCATCTGTAGGTGACATGAATATTTCCCTGATTCTCTTTCTTTGTTGTTCTTCATCCAACACCTGAGCACCTCTCTTCCCTCCTCTCCTACTATCAGTTGTAACAGTCAGTAGACTCAACTGCAACATAGACAGTCCTAAATTACAGTTTTATGTAAATATTCAAAAACAATTAAAATGTGGATGCCTCAATTAATGTAATTTTATTTTTGAAATTAGCCAGTAACTGCTGCATTTCCCACCCTCGGTTTATACTCGAGCCAATAAGTTTTCTGAGTTTTTAATGGTAAAATTAGGTGCCTCGGCTTATTACAATTCATAACAGTATCAAAATTACTGTTATGAAGTAGCATTGAAAATATGGTTGGGGGTTACCACAACATGAGGAACTTAATTAGGGGTCACAGCATTAGAAAGGTTGAGAACCACTGGTAAGTCAGGAGCCCACTAACAGTGGGTCAAAGTGCTAAACTGTTGAACTTGCTGAATGAAAGGTCACAGGTTTGAATCCGGGGAGCAGCGTGAGCTCCCCTGTTAACCCCAACTTCTACCAACCTAGCAGTTTGAAAACATGCAAATGTGAGTAGATCAATACTCTAGCAGGAAGGTAACAGCGCTCCATGGAGTCATGCTGGCCACATGACCTTGGAGGTATCTATGGACAATGCTGGCTTAGAAATTGAGATAAGCACCAACCCCCAGAGTCAGACATGACTGGACTTAAGGTCAGGGGAAAACCTTTACCTATACGGTAAGTTAGGTAAACGGTAAATTAGTGAGCTAAAATTAGAACTTTGTTCCTTTGGCACTGTAGAATGAAAGGTAAACAAATATGAATCAATTGGAAGACTAAGGGCAATTAGAGTGTATCTGTTCTGAAAGACCAAGTAGTGGTCTGATCAAGATTCAATGATGTGGCTGAGATCATGGAATCACAAAATGCATTGCTTAGAAAATTTGGCATGTTAGAACACAAATACAACATCTACTTGTGCATAAATAGATCTCATGTATAAGTCAAAATTAGGTTTTGGGCTCAAAATGAATAGGTTGGGGGTCAATTATTATTATAACTTTATTTGTACCCCGCTAGCATCTCCCGAAGGACTCGACGCGGCTTACATAGGCCGAGGCCTCAAAACACAATACAATACAATACCTAAAGCAAATTAAAAACAGTTAAGCAGAATAAACAACAACAATAACAATACATCGAGACACTATAAAACTGAGCCGGCCAGAGCAATGGGTACAGGATTAAAAGTGCTGACGTGGCAGGAGGTATGTAGGATTATAAAGTAAGTGCAGTGTGCGGTGTGCAGTGATCTTAGTTCTACTGAAGTGCTTCTAGGACTTGGCATTGGAGGTTCCTAATCTGAGAAGGCACATCGGAACAGCCAGGTCTTCAAGTTCTTTCTGAAAATTGCCAATGTAGGGGCCTGTCTAAGATCTTTTGGGAGGGCGTTCCAAAGTCGGGGGCCACCACAGAAAAGGCCCTGTCTCGAGTCCCCACCAAGCGCGCTTGCGACGCGGGCGGGATCACTAGCAGGGCCTCTCCAGATGACCGAAGTGAATGCGTGGGTTCGTAGACGGAGATGCGGTCACGCAGGTAGGGTGGTCCCAAACCGTACAGGGCTTTGCAGGTAAGCACCTGCACCTTAAATTGGGCCGGAAGATAAACGGTAGCCAGTGGAGCTCCTTGAACAGGAGGGTTGACCTCTCTCTGTAATGAGCCCCAGTTAGCATCCTGGCTGCTGCCCGTTGGACCAGTTGGAATTTCCGAGCCGTTTTCAAGGGCAGCCCTACGTAGAGCGCATTGCAGTAATCCAACCTAGAGGTGACCAAGGCATGGACCACCCCGGCCAGATCAGCCTTCGCGAGGTACGGTCGCAGCTGGCGCACAAGTCTCAGTTGTGCAAAAGCCCTCCCGGTCACCGCCGACGCCTGAGCCTCAAGCGTGAGCGATGAGTCCAAGAGGACTCCCAAACTGCGGGCCTGTGGCTTCAGGGGGAGTGTAACCCCGTCCAACACAGGTTGCCACCCTATACCCCGATCCGGTTTGTGATCGACCAGGAGGACCTCTGTCTTGTCGAGATTAATCCTCAGCTTGTTAACTGGTGCTCCTTACAGGGAGAGGTCAACCCTCCTGTTCAAGGAGCTCCATTGGCTGCTGTTCATTTTCCGGTCCCAATTCAAGGTGCACGTGCTTACCTACAAAGCCCTAAACGGTTTGGGACCCACCTACCTGCGTGACCGCATCTCTGTGTATGAACCCACACGATCTCTTCGTTCATCTGGAAAGGCCCTACTCATGATCCCATTTCCATCGCAGGCGCGATTGGTGGGGACGAGGGATCAGTGGTGGCCCCTTGACTCTGGAACTCGCTCCCCAAGGATATGAGACATGCCCCAACTCTGGCAGTCTTTAAGAGGAGCCTGAAAATGTGGTTGTTCCAGTGTGCCTTCCCAGAATAAGGAACCCCAAGCAACATGTTCCTAATTGCACTTTACTAATGGTCTAGGATTGTCTGCTCGCTCCATCTCCCTCCAAATACCTGTCCTAGTTATATGTCACCTTGTCATGCCCAGTATTTTAAAATTTTAATTATTACATTTGGCCCTGCCATAGGTTTTTAATGCGTCGTGGTGTTATTATTACTGTTTATTGCTTTGTTTATGAGTTTATTTATTGTCTGTATTGCTGTGTTGTTATATTGATGTATTTGGGCTCGGCCTCTTATAAGCCACACCGAGTCCTCCGGGAGATGGTAGCAGGGTATAAATAAAGGTTATTATTATTATTATTATTATTATTATTATTATTATTATTATTATTATTTCCAAATCAGTGCACTAGATAAAATGGGTTTAGCGTATGGTAAATAAAACATGTTGGTTTTTATGGCATAACACTTTGCTGCAGGAAGTTTTTAGGCATTTTATACATTATCAACAACAACAATAATGCTTTTTTCCATCTACTTAACAGGAAAACCAATTAGAAGAAAACAGTTAAATATTGCAATCCCCCAACTTATTGGAAATTACAGTCGTGGTTGAAGTGTGACGCCATCAAGATTTATCACATTGCAACACTGAAGTACTTTGGAATTTCCAGTATGTTAAATGATTTATCTGCCTGTAGAATGCAAAGTTTGGTGCTGGCAGTGATTATTTATAACAATAGATGAGGAAAAATTAAGTAGTTACATCTTTGTCATCCTCTGTTCTAGGGCATTCAAAATTATGTGGATGCTTCAATAAAAGAGTAGATCTTATATATCTTAGATCAACCCTTAGCAATCTGACGTCTTCTAGTTGTGCTGGCCATGATGCTGAGGAATTATGGGAGTTGTTAAGCACATTTAGAAGGCTGCGGGCAAAATCACTTATTGGAGATTTGGACAGTTACCAAACTGCATGGTCCAGCACAAAGTATCATAGTTAATTGGTGTCTGTGTATTGATAACATCCCCAGTAGTGCAGTGGGTTAAACCCTTGTGCTGGCAAGACCGCTGACTGACAGGTCAGTAGCATGAGTCCGGGTAGAGCGGGTTGAGCTCCATGCGGGGACGTGATGAAGCCTCCCATAAAGAAGGTAAAACATCAAACATTTGGGTGTCCCCCTGGGCAACGTCCTTGCAGACAGCCAATTCTCTCACACCAGAAGTGACTTGCAGTTTCTCAAGTCGCTCCTGATATGGAAAAAACCCACTTTAAATGAATAACAAACTGTTTGCTGTCAGACTGGAGAGCTATAGACCAACTTAGTCCCATTCTACACTGCCACATAAAATCTAGAATATCTGCTTTCAACTGGATTATATGGCAGTGTAGATTCAAATAATCCAGTTCAAAGCAGATAATGTATCAAAGCAGATTATCTGCTTTGATAATCTGGGTTATATGGCAGTATAAAAGGGGCCTTAATTCTTAATGTTTACAAAGTCCAAATGTTGCCAATATTTTTCTGTAAATGCTTTAAAGCAAATGTTTCAAAATATTTATAAAGACCAAAAATGCCTTTTGAGTGCATTTTTGGTCTTTATAAATATTTTGAAACATTTATAAATACTTTGAAACTGGAAGCTGACCCCCCCCCCCCCACACACACACACATTCATAAAGTATCTTTTGCTTGTGGGAAAGCTGTTCTCTTGTGCAAGATGTAAAAGCAAAAATAGAAACCCAAATTATGTTTTGTTTCATATATTTTATCGAACAGAATCACGAGAAAGACAAGCAGACAGCAAAGTTGCGTAATTTGCCAAATTCCTTGACGAATCCCATTTTAAGTCAAGTCAGATACAATGGAGGTAATTTAGAGATCCCTACTGGTCTATGTATCTTCCCATCTGGAAGTTGCCTTGGGGACCCATAATTAATCTGTCAATGGCCAAATTAGGGTCCCTTTCATACTGCGCTATTGTTGGCTATGAATTGTTGTGGTTTCATTCAATGGAATCTTGGGATTTGTAGTTTACTGATTCAGTCTCAAAGCCATAGTTCCTCCCCAAACTGCAAGCCCTATTATTCCGTGGGCTGTTGCCATGACTGTTAAAATGGAATAAAGTGTTCTATAATTCCAGGTGTGAAAAGGTTCCAGGTTCCAAACGTTCCTCTTCTCCTACTACAGAACCTACCTGGTGTTACACTGCATGCTTGCTTGCAAAACATGTACAGAACTATGCCAGCACTGCTTTTCCTTTGGCTCGCAATCTGAAGGTCCAAACTGAAGGACAGGAATATTTTGCACAGCCCTGAGGGTTACAGTGTGGTATTTTTAATTGCCTGCTGTTATCTTTCTAGTCCAAAAACTTGTGATTTACAGGCACATTGCTGTCAAACCAAGTTGGTGTCTGTTGAACGTATGGCTTCAGAGGTCTGCATTTAAAGTTCATGAGCTCAATATCACTTTTAAAAGAAGCTAAAAGCACAGGAAAACCAAACAAAACATTGGGTAGACTCAAGAGATCAGAGGTGCATGTGTATTTGTTACTCTGAGCTTGAAAAAGCTTATTTTTCTGGATCTCCCATTATGCTTGACCAGTGATTAAGCTGATGACATGGTTTTGAGAAAGCTGCTCTTTCCAAACGTTTGATTTTTGCAAGTTATGAACACATTTATCAGCACTGTTTAATAGTGTCGTTGGGTGCTCCATTATCTTCTTTCAGTGCTATTGTCCAAACAGCAGGAGGGGATATGAAGACCAATTTTATGTATTATGGCTTATTATTATGGAAAGATTTATAAATCTATATTTTTGTAATAATAATGTGATATCAGCCTTATAAAAATGTTGCTCCTATGGAAGCAGAAAATTGTTGCTTTTCCTCAACTAACTGCCACGTGATGAAATAGTTTTCATAATATTTAATGTATCTTTGATGAAGCTATTCTGCCTTCCCATTGTTCCAGTAGTGTAGAAAATGATTAATAAACAAGAATGGCATTTTAAATCCAGTAATTTGTACTATTTATTGTTCGGTAGGATGCTTAAATAAAATTTTGTGTATGTCTGAAAATGATTTGCAAGGCTAATCACCTGTCTCTGTTGGATGTACAGCACAAAAGTTGTGAGAAAAGTTCTATGCCAGACAAAGAAAATATGCCACACAGATGAACAATAAAGAACCAGTAGTTTACTTTTTATAATTCAGAACAACACATTTACAATCATGTGATCAGCTACATCAACTCACATAATGTACATTTTTAATTTTTTAAAATATTTTTATTGAAAGAATTTTCCACTACATTAAAAATAAAAACATATTAGGATAGGTATGGGAAGGATATCAACTATTTCTGATACTGTCAATGTTTTCAATGCATGTGCCTCAGAAATAGCCATATACATGAGGTTTATCACATTGGGAGGATATCAACTATTTCTGATACTGCGAATGTTTTCAATGCAAATTCCTCAGAAATATACATGAAGTTTGTCACATTTCTGATACTGTGAATGTTTACAAGGCAAGTTCCTCAGAAATGGCCAAATGCATGAAGTTTGTTACATTGGGAGGATATCAACTATTTCTGTGAATGTTTTCAATGCAAGTTCCTTAGAAAAAGCCATATACTTGAAGTTTGTCACATTGGGAGGATATCAACTATTTCTGATACTTTTTTCAATGCAAGTTCCTCAGAAATAGCCATATACATGAAGTTTGTCACATCAACTATTTCTTTTTAAAAAAATAATGTTTTATTAAACAGTTTCAAACATAAATACATGGAAAGAGGGGGAATATTTAGGGAGAAGATAGAAAAGTAGGAAATACAATAAATAAAACCACTACCTAAAAAAAAGGAGAAAAAAAATACAAAAATCAAAAATAAAGTAAAACAACTTCCATTCCAATCTCAGGATCTTCTTATCTTTTATTTCATTTTTATTTACCTCTTCTTTGTTTCTCTCTCTTTTCATTTCATAGTCATAAAAGAGAACGCAATCTGTCTTTTTTATAGGTTTCCCGGTGTACAGAAGTTATTGATACTGTGTATATGTTTAACTGTTAGAATATATTCGTGTTGGTAACAGTAGCTGAAAGCTAGAGTTAACTGGTTGTATCCACAGTGGCGTTGCCAAGGAGACCAGGCAAGAGAGTGAGAAGTGGGCGGAGCCTAGCAAGAGAATGTTATCTGCGTCTTTGAAAAGAAGCAGTTCAGTTGGCAATTGGGAGTTTGGAGTCGGAGTTAGCAGTTGAGAGAGGAGAGTGGAGAGTGGAGAAGCAGTGTGTGTGAATAGCCAGAGGTTTCTTCAGTCTAGGAAGGCTGAAGGGGGAAACCTAATTAGTTTCATTAGTCAGAGAGGACTAAGGGAAGCTTGTTTAGATCACTAGTTAGGAAAGAACTAGAGATCTAGGATTTGATCAAGAAAGGATCAAATAGGAAAGCTATTCACCTCAGGAAACATTGTTTAATAAAGTGCTTCACCACAGTAAAAGACAATCACAAGTTGTGTCATCCAGAAGTGTGAACTGTATTTGCAAACCAAGTTACATTCAAAGTTCTATAAGTTATTCCAAGTTAATTAACAGCCTGCAACCATACGCTTTGTACAAAATAAACTTATTAACTTTTGTTGAAGACCATGTCATCTCCATTTATCTGCGTCTGGGGAACCAGTTCTCATCAGCAATACCTCACGTTGGTGGCAGTTACCTTAATTACATCCATAATCTTCCACACCTGTATAACTGGTGGCAGAATTTAAGAGCAGACAGTAAAATTAGTGACAGCGGGTGAGTTCTTTAAAGTTAAAAACCCTATACCCTGTCTGTTGTTGGCACAATTGTACAACTGGTGCGTGCAGACTTCGCAAATTGGTGGCAGCCCTGTACAATTGGCGTACAACCTTTACAATTGGCTAGCATCATTGCACCCGGTATTTTTCTTTAGCAAAAAAGTTAACTCATCCATGTATCTTATTTCTTTGACCTTGTCCACCCACTCATCCATTTGTTCTTTTTTTCCAAAATTTTACAAAAATAATTCTAGCTGCTGTTGTAATATATGCCAGTAGTTTATCTTCATTTTTATCCAACTGTAATTCCAAATCAGTAAAGCCCAGCAAATAATATTCTGGTTTTTTCTTAAACGTTTTGTTTAAGATTTTTTGTGTTTCCTCGTGGATTAAAGACCAATATTTAGTTGTTTCCTTGCATGTCCACCACATATGATAGCATGTACCTACTTCTTCACAACATTTCCAACACTTATCCGGTGTATTTTTGTACATATGTACCATCTGTGGAACATTTTAAACCAGTTCTCCTTCAGATCCATAGCATAAGTATATTTTAACTTTTTGTTCCACATTTGTTCCAACTCCCTAAATTGAATTGGTCTCCTTAAATTTTCTGCCCACTTAATCATACAAGTCTTGACCTGTTTTTTTCTGTTATCCATGATAATAGTTTGTTATTGATCATTGTAACTATTTTCCTTTCCCTTTTCAGAATTTTGTCCCATATATTTTCTTCCCAGTCAAATCCTGTTTTTTATCTTGTTTATAGTAGTCTTTGATTTGTAAGTAATGAAGCCATGTTATATTTTCATAATTTTCATTCAACTGTTCTTAATATCCATTGTGTCCTTAATTAGAATATTTTGTGAATAATATCCATTGTGTCTTAATATCCACTGTGTCCTTAATTAGAATATTTTGTGAATAATATCCATTGTGTCTTAATATCCATTGTGTCCTTAATTAGAATATCTTTATATATCAGCCATATTCTCCAGCCTAAAAGTCTCCTTTGATGAGCCTCCACTGGAGAGACCCATAATGGTGTCGTTTTATTTTTTAAAAATTTGTACCTAATCCAGGTTCTTAATAATGAGGCTCTTACAAAATGGTTACCAAAATTCTTTTCTTTAATTTCTCTATTGTACGAAATATAAGCATGCCAACCTACCCTCAAGTCATGACCCTCCAAATTTAAACATTTCTCTTTCTCTAATGTCATCCATTCCTTTATCCATAGGAGCGCACATGCTTCGTGATAGGTTTTCAAGTCTGGGAAACCAAGACCCCCTCTATTTTTTTATCAATTAAATTGATATAGTTTATTCTTGGTCTTTTCCCCTTCCAGACAAATTTTAATAGGTCTTTCTTCCATTTTTTGAATAAAGTCTGATTTCTTATTACAGGTATATTCTGAAAAAGAAATATTAACTTCGGTAACACATTCATTTTTACCAATTATATTCGGCCAAATAAGGACAGTTTAAGATGGTTCCAGTTTTTTAGATCATTTTGAATCTTTTTTCAAATCATTTCATAGTTATTTTTAAGGAGTTGGCCATTTCTTGCTGAGAGCCAAATTCCTAATTTTTAATATTTTTTTTACAATTTCCACACCAAACCATTTATGGATCTTCTCTTGTTTTCCTTTGTTTACATTTTTCAATAACAGTTTTGTTTTCCTCATGTTCATCTTAAATCCCGCCACTTTCCCAAATTCTTCTATTTTGCTAATCCAATTTTGTAAATTATTGCTTGGGTCCTCAATAATTCCTAACAGATCATCTGCAAAGGCTCAAATTTTATATTCGAATTTCTGAATTTTTGCTCCTTTGATATTTCCATCTTCCCTGATTTTTTTCATCAATATTTCCAATGCCATTATAAATATAAGTGGGGATAGGGGGCATCCTTGTCTTGTCCCTTTTGAAATAATTTCTTCAGTCACTTGACTATTTATCTTGACTTTAGCTTTTTGATGATTGTAAATAGCATTAACTGCATTGATAAACTTGTCTCCCATATCCAATTCCTGTATTAATATCTTGAAAAAAAATCCCAATTTAAATTATCAAAGGTTTTTTCAGCGTCTAATGATAATATAGCCAATTCTTTTTGATGATTAACTTCATAATATTCCAGAAGATCAAGTACTGTACGAATATTTTCTTTCATATGTCTATTTGGGAGGAACCCAGTTTGTTTTTCTCCTATCCATTCATTTAAAAAATCTTTTAGTTTCGTGGCTATGACATTTGCAAATATTTTCTAATCTGTATTTAACAGAGAGATCGGTCTATAGTTCTTGATATCAGTGTCCAGTGTTCCTTCCTTATGTATTACTGTAATTTCTGCCTCCTTCCATGAATCTGGAATTTTTTGATATTTCATTACCTCATTTAGGATTTTCTTCAGCATTGGTGTTAAGGCCTGTTTAAATGATTTGTAAAAGCCCGCCGTGAACCCGCCTGGTCCCTGTGCTTTATCTGCGTCCATTTTATTTATTGCTTTTTCTATCTCCTCATCCGTTATTTCTCTATTTAAATTTTCCCTGTCCTCATCCGTTATTTTGTCTAGTTTCATCTGGCCTAAATATTTCGTAATCTTTTCTTTCAATATCTTATCATTGGTATATAATTGGCCATAGAACTTTCTAAATTCCATCAATATTTCCTTATCCATCATTAATTCTTTATCCTTTATAATTATTTTTGTTATCTGCTTTATTTGTTTCTTTTTTCTTACTTGATTTGATAACCATTTCCCTGGTTTGTTTGCATTTTCAAAAGTCTGTTGTTTTAAAATTTTTAGTTGCCTTGCTTGGAATTCCAGTTCCAATTGCGCTTTTTCTTGTTTCAAAGTTGTTAATTCTCGTTCAAGCTTTTTATTCTCAGGTCTCTTCTTTAAGTTCATTTCTTTAGTTGCAATTTTTGTTGCAATTTTTGTCATCAAATCCTTAATCTTTTTATTTCTATCTTTGAATAAAATTGCCTCTTAAGACTGCTTTGAGTGCATCCCATGTCACTTGTGGATTCACTTCTCCAGAATCATTTATTTGTAAATATTATTGAATCACTTTCTTATAATGTTCCTTGTCTTCCTCCGTTTTAATTAAGTTTTCATTAAGTCTCCATTTTTTACATTGGTTTTTATGATTAATTATAATTTCCAACGGACAATGGTCTGACATAATATATTGATATC